ACAACGTCACTCTTGTTGATGTCGATAGTGGTGAAAGCCCTGATATCTATCAGTATTCTCGGAGAGAATGACGTACACTCGTCTACAAAACGATCATAAGCCGTCTTCCGTGAAGTCTAAGCTGGAAGGGACGGTGGCTTGGACATGCAGCGGCTAGCCTCGTGTCCGCATCTAAGACAGGTGAGCATTGTGAAAGGACATCTTACAAATTTCAGTCCGCGCTGTTGGCAGGCTAATGGTAGCCTGTTTTGAAGGTGTTGCCCATGGTAACCTGTTGTGACCACGCTCGTTGAAAATTGTCCTGTAACATTCAACTGCGCTGTTCAGTAAGCAGAAAAAGACTATCGTGACCAAATCAATAACTCTTTGAAATACCACAACAGAGGTGTTATGGCTTAGTCTCGCCCCGACAAGAGAATTCTGATTCGGAGCTCGGTACCCTTGGGAAACTGCAGGTAATATATCAACATCAAGCATACAAACTGAACCTCAACAAGTGAGCTTATTCGGAAATGCTGGAACCTTCGTTTGCCGCTGATGTGCAAGCAATGAAACCGTCACTGTTACTTTTGAGCAGTAACAATAGCAATTATTGATGAATTTAAAACAAGTAGTTCTTCTCAACAATTTGAAAAGCATAGTAAGACGTGGGTAGATATGCCAAAAATCCACGCACGCCTGCTGCCCGTAGTGGAAAAATTGAGCCCTGTGCTGTTGCATACGCGCGAGTTTGTAGAACCCCATCGACCGTAAAAAGACGAATGAACTATCTAGGCTTTAAAAATAGCCGGTGAGGAACCGGGTATTGGTGACCACCACAGTATGTATCTGGTGAACTTCTCACATGTAGAGCTTGACGCACAATATTTAGAAGTATCATCTTCTGGACCGAATTACAAAGACGAATAAAGGAGCTGTTAATTGAAGCTCAGTTTGACAATAAAAAGTGCGCACTAACGCATCTGCAGGAGCTAGGCGAACTACGTGCTAAGGATTTAGCTACAATAAAGTCAGAAAAGAGCGCAGGTGTGACAGTCATAAATAGAGTAGGTAGTTTGAGAAATTTAAAGCAGTTAATTCGCTTAGGAAATTGAAAAGTCCGGTTAGAAGACAAGAGCTGGTAGATGCATGAATTTCGTATTGTCTCCTCGGTACTAGTAACAATGCCGGCCCGTAGCGTAGACGTAACGAGCTTGTCTCGTATTCTTGCGGCGCGGGTTCGAATCTGCGTATGAGTGGGCGCGATCGCGGTGTATTCAACCCGCGTGCGACTGGTGGTGGTCGCACGGCAGCGAAGTGCCGTTACGGCGCCCAGCTGACCCATTATTTTATTATTATTACTAATAACAATAACCGGTATGGAACTATATACCAAACTATTGACATCACCAAATAAGTACAAGGTGCAAACTGAATGAACATAGTTCTATCATTTAAGTCCATGGTAATCTTAAGCTGATAATTGTTTTTGTGTATACTGAGCCAGCTTCATCCGGGTTATAGTAACCGCTTCGGCGAAACGGAGGAAGCGAGGAGTAGGGTGATGTAACACACGTATGGTTATTCTTGCTATGTGAATCGTGGCAACTTGGTCCATTAAAAATCGGTGCTCGGATGACAGTCGTTCAACTGAACTGAAATGGAAAAGGAATAGTTGCTGCTGTGCACGGAAAATATCGAATTTCACTTCTAAAACACTTTTGTATAGCCAGATTGATGGGGTAGCCATGGGCAGCCCACTGGGTCCCATACTAGCGGATTTTTGTGCCGATTGTGGAACAAAGTTTATCGGAAGAAATAGCTCAAGTGCCATGCCATAAACGATCTGCGGATGCCATCCTAGCGTTTCGTTCATCAGAAAATAAATAATAATAAATAAATCGCTAGCTGCACGCCGTAACGGCGCTTCGCTGCCACGCGACCACCACCAGTCGTGCGCGGGCTGAGTATACTGCGAGGACGCCCACCTCTACGTGGATTCGAACCGGTGACCTTATGGGTACAAACCAGGCGCGCTGACCACTCGGCCACCAGCAGACCGTTCATCAGAACAGTAGACCACACAGCTGCTGACACTTCTAAATGCTGCGCATATGAACTTGAGCGGCAAAAAAGCCTCACTTATTTAGATGCTGTCATCAGTCGAGGAGAAAAGGACGGATTAAAAAGTCCACCTACAGAAAAACAACGTGGTCCAGTCAGTACCTGCATGTGATAAGCTTCACACCAGTGGGGTACACGCAGATGCTTAATACTTTATTTAGACGTGCCAGGCGAAGATGTACTACAGATCGTTTACCCGACGGATTGAAACTGATAACTAGTGCACTAGTTGCAGACGATCATCCTCAGAGGTTCATTGAGAACCGTAGCCAAATAAGCCGATTGAGAGATCCAAAAAGAATATATGCTTGGAGCTGCCCTTTAAGAGTGATATAACTGCACGGAAGACTACTAGGCAGTGTGCTTTCTGTGCTGCCAAAGTCATAATCATCGAGTTAACCCACAGGCCGACACTGCCTTGACTGAAGGAAACAATCTACCGAGGCCAACTTCCATTATACTTACTGACTGATATGTAACTGCGGATTTAGTTACATGAGTAGAACCGATAAAGCCCTGAGTTCCCGAAGGAAGGAGCACTTACCGGAATGGATCCAATGCAAGACGGCGAAGCAAGGTTGCGCAGCTCATGCTGCGCACTTATGCAGGCCGCCAGCATCTTCGATCGGCCCATACTTATTGATCTCAGACCACTGCATTGAGGTCAAGACGTGGTTCAAAGTTCTGATGTGGCATACCAAACCCCGTCTCCTCAGTTTAGCCGAAGCTGTTGCAATACACCAGATTATCGGGTTTTTGCTCAAAAGCAACTATCGGTCGGCCTCAGGTTGCTCTGGATGTATGGTTAGCTTTCCGTCTTTTGGTTTCGTTTGCAAGTTTTCTGCACCGGCTGATAGTCATATATAGTTTGCAGTTATCGTTATCGAGACTGCGTTTTTAAAAGTACTGATCAGTAACGATTGAGCGTGCAAACCGAATAACTGTTTCACCGTAGCTGAAACGATGAGCGCTTTCCGGTAACATAGATGACGACAGTTTAAAGTTTCGAAACGATAAGCAGCTTTCAATGAATCTTCAAGAGATGATTGCACTGTCTTGAATGCATCTTCACAGGATCTGAACCACGCAAAAAATGTTACTCCTAAACACGAATCGAAAATAGACTCTAACGTTGCTGATTTTTGCGCCAACCGAAGGTCTTCTAGTATTCTGAACGATTGTGGAAGGATAAATATCGAGTGATGACGTTATTTTAAGTGGGTAAATATGAATAATTGTTGCCAATATGACAGAATATCCTTAATAATTTCAGAGGAAGTGGACATTCGGGCGAAACCACCCGGTTGGCCAAACTCGATTACATTCCTGATGACCATGAAAGACAATCGTTACCGCGGATTCTAGCCTGTTCAAATTCTCAAACCTTAAGATAACAAACCCAACAACAACATCAGCATCAACAAAAGTCCCTAACTAGATCGCTCAGAGCATAAAGAGGAAATAATATGGACAAATATTCTTTGCTTCCAGGTATTCTAGAAGCGTTAAGGGCGAGCAGATGATTTCTATTGGTCAACTCGAGGTTCGGTTGGTGATATAGCCATGAGAATGGGATTGGATAAGATTCATGAACTGGATAACTTGATCGAATAGTAAAGCAACCTAAGAGCAACACTCTATTAAGAGGCGCACTCCGTATGAACTCCATCCACAATAGCTGGTGGCTATGATGGCTAGACTTATGCTGAGAAAAAAAATTTAGCATTTCTATATGCCCCTAACCTACCAACAGAGATGTTAAGACGATGCAAACGCAAGCTGTTGTTGCACAGTGTGAAGTTTATTGGTTTTGGCGGTTCGCATTCTGTTAATCAGATACAGCAACTATGATGGAAGGATGTCGGAATACGTACCCCAAGCATGTGGATGCGTTCCATCAAAAAGTGACCAATGCCATTCGTTCGAATGAGCGGTGCCAAGACAGTCTCGTAGGTGAAAAGATTATCGTCAGTGTCGGTGCTCACGTGAACAACGAAGCATGAGCATATGATGGGTAAAAGTTACGTTTTACGACGCGTCTAATCAGATTCGTGATAGCACTTGGATCGCAACGCAACAGGAATCGGCATTCACGCATTGTCGTATGCGAAGCATCGATTTGACGAAAATTCGAGCGGCGTAAGGAAACCTGTAGGTATGGCAAACAGGTCAGCACGATTTCCTAAACAATGTTGACTTCAATAGGCAAATTCCTGAAAAATCTCGACATAGCCCACATCCTCCGCTTGTAACTGGCAAAAGTAACAGCATCCAAATGGATTTGACCAACAAGAAGGTGATCAGTCACTGTGTGGTTAAAGTGAGCAAGATCACATTGGTGGTTTAGTACAATGCGCGGGAGACTACAGTTGTGCAAATGCGTAGGGTGAGACAAGCACGAACCCACTGACTCCTTTGTGATAGCCTGTACATCCATACACAAATGGCTGATCAAAGCGAAACAAAGCACGTGATGATTGTGGAGTGGAATGACAAAGCACCGTAGTGGGGAATGCTAAACTATGCGAATCGGAATCACTCCTGAGCCTAAAAGCGACGAAACGTAACAAAGCCCGTTGCACGCGCTAAGACGTTGTGGCGCCGATCTCATTGTGTGTGTGCCTGTGATTAACCAGTGATATATCAAATGGGTAACAGGGTCCCAATATCGGGCTACAGAGCACAAGCTGTCATATGGCATGCAACCGTCACAAAGGGACCAATGCGCATTCATGATAATCAAGTGGGCGGCTTTAGCATGTTACAAATGCAACAGAGTTAGTGGGAAATCGGACTGCGACTAACAGAATGCAAGCAGAGACGATGATAATAACAAGGGGATGATCGTGGCGGTCGTAGCTGGAAGGATTTTCCTGATGAGTTCCATGATGGCTTACCTTAATGCGCGATACTGTTCGAGCACAGCTAACTCGAATGCTTCGGTTTGTTGCTCCTCTGGTATGAAGCGGAATGTGGACACAAACACCGGGGTGTGTTGTCTTGAATCGTAGTCGCCGAATTCCGCTGGAAAAATAGAGCGAAAAGTGAACGCACAATTCAAAACACCTGTGGAGAGTTTATCGAGACAATCAATGCACGTTGGATGGCAAAGGGGGACAACGAGGGGACGACGTTAACAAGTTCACAGAAGACAAGGCAATGGAACATGGATACGCGACGTGTGACGCAATGACAGCACAACATGAGATGTGGTCGAAAGAGGAACAAGAGTGGATGAGATAACTGAGAAAAGGTTGTTAGGAATGCCAACCGATAAGTTTAAGAAAACACGTTAACTTTGAGTGGATGCACTAATACGTGGCAGTGCACTCCACCTGGTGAGCCTATTGGATCAAATGTTAGGGGCGAGGAGTGTCTAACAAATGATATGTTTTGAGTTGGTAGCAGGAGAGCATCAGGTGTACACAGAGCCACATCACCAGTGCTTTTCACCTTGCGCCGTCCCCTTTCAAGGGGATGAAGCATCATTGAGTCCACCGGTGTACCTGAATGATCTTTTAGAACAAGGGCTTCAATTCATGTTGATTTCTTCACTGTTTTCGCTCAAGGTCAGCTCGAGCAACAGGCGGCGCCAGCTATCAATTTTTACCTTCTTATAGCGCAAACAAGATAGCAGTGATGTAATGGAGTATCAAACATCTGGTTCATAATTCGTGCACTGAGTCGCTGAAGACGATGGACTGCGATCCACTCACCCTCTGTGTTCATCTCGTAGACATGTTTTCCACGATTTTACATCAATGACGTGCGTGAGTTGGCATAGAGTCAATCGGTCTTATTCCTTCGGGTTTACATTGGAGTTGGGGCACATGGATGGCGCAGCACATGCCGCCTATGATTCGTCTGTGGGCACATGTGACATGCAGTCACAATGACGAGTACATGCTGGTTCTTTAAAGAAATGAAGAGTTTCGCACTAGTTCCCGCGCTTTTCTTTCCTCTGGAGGAAGCAAACGAGTACAATGTAGGCCACATTGTTACCAGCGCGTTGCATAGCATGAACGTGAGCCAGCGGCACAGCAGCACTCAAGGATTCCACCCACATACAACCCAGTCTAACTCACTTGAGTGTAAACTGTAGATAAGAGAGGTGCAGGTGACGCAGTGCACAGGTCACGTGTCTATTCGCAGTCACATGGAGGGACAATTTGCAAACCGATGCTATCAAGCGTGTCGTACTTAGTTGTATTCAGCTATGAGATGAATGCGATCCGGTTCAAACAAGAGGACAAGTCACGCAACCAATGGATGGAAGATGTACACAGTACGAATATCCCTAAAGTGAAAAGCTACCTGGAAAAAGAAGAAATGGAGGTCTGCGAATAATTTAGGCAGCCTGTCAGATAAGCAAGCACAGAATAATCAAGGTGAGGTCGGAGGTATTCGCAAGTATTGTTAGCTACAGCTGCCAAATGAGTCGGAAAATGCTGAGGCACGCATCAGGCACTGCGCGGTCCGGTCAACGTAAATGCGTTTAAAGTGCACGCGACGTTATCGGCCACATAAACATCTTCAATGCGTCCGAATTAATCGCGGTGCATAGGACGCCAGAAGGCAAGCTGGTCTAAGACTAAGTTTGGCGAGCGCATGCAATACGTTAAAGGGGGGATAGAACAACACGAAAACTGAATAATCACATGCGGCATACGCAATTCACCTTGACCGCGACTGTCGATATATGCAATGACGAACTGAAAATTAACGAGAGCACAAACGGAATATGGTGCAAGGATGGTGTCAGCAAAAGTATGGGCCATTATGAGCACCGGATTAGAGGATCTTCACTGAGGGCAAACAGAAAGCATTACGAAGATTCACAGTTGTAGAATGGCTAATAGTGCGGGGGGAACACCACCAAGCCGGAAGAAGGCGTAATCACAAGTAACCAAGGCATACTGCAAAGAGTGAACACATTACAAGATTTTATGAGGGAGTAAAATGGTACCCTGCGGATAGACTCCTTATGGTCCGCGTCTTCCTACCCCAGAAGTAAACAGTTCCTGCAAAACGAAATCGTTCCACAAGGGAAACCTTGAAGTTTCTAACTGATGGATAATCCATAAGAATGAACAAGCTGAAAGAGTAGAAGTCACGCGGCGCAGTGGCACGTAACTGAGCTAACTAACGACAAGTCATGCACCGCCCAACTTTTGATATGGGGCAACAAGATGATCTATGGGAGGGAAGACAGAAACATGCGGTACAGCTACACTACCATCTAAAGAGTGCGTCTGTGCGCGGTCAACTGCCCTATTGCTGCGGATTCGGTGATACTTGTCGAAAAACTAAAACTGTGACTGAACACAAGTAGGCTACTGCTGTGGGGAACACATGTCTCAATAAGATTGCAGAAATCCTGTCCAAGTGGGCAGCGCCTCCGTGTACTTCTTTTTGGCACAGACACTCGCGTCCATGTGAACACACATGTCTAGACACGCCCACGCTGACTACGCACCTTCGCGTAAACCTACACGTTATGCTACTCCCCAGCTTAATCTTCGCCCTCCTGTGAACCAACGTAAGAGGGATGTTCAAAAAGAGACGGAACATTTGAAGCAGTGGGGCAACCGGTAGAGGGAGCGCGCTGTGGCTACTGAGCGCAGGTGGAGGCTTGCTTAGACAACAAACCGCCATTTGCCGTATTTCGCTCTGACTGTTAGTTGGGGAGCTGCGGCCGCTGAAGTGAGTACGTGCACAACCTGTTCGTCGGACTAGTGCCAAAGAGACAAGGAAAGAGGTTAAAGAACAACGTGTGTGAAATTTTGCCACAAACTTGGCAAAACTATTATGGAGACATTTCAATTGTATAGCCAATCATACGCGGAGGACTGTATGAGTCGCACGCAGTGCTATCAGTGGTTTAAGTGCTTTGAACACGGCAGAATGTCGGTCGGTGACGATTCCAAGCCAGGACGGCCTTCCACATAAACAGACGATGATCATGTCGACAGAGTTCGTGCAGTGGTCCGTGGAAATCGCCGTTTAAGTGTTCGAGAAGTTGCTGACGAAGTGGGCATCAGCGTAGGATTTTACCATCAAATTCTAGCACGTTTGAAGGATGCTGTGTACAGGAAGAGGCCTGAGCTGTGGGAAAATCAGACTTGGATGTTGAACCATTGACAATGTGCCGGCTCACATATCGCTCCTTGTCCGCAGCTATCCAGCAAAATCTCACACTCCCGTTGTGCTCCATCTACCGTATTCTCAGGAGGTCGAGCCTGCGCAGGAGACCGGGCAACCCTCGGAGTATCATTAGCCCACGCGCGACTGCTGGTGGTTGCGTGAGAGCAAAGCGTCGGTACGGCATATCGGCCTAGTGCGAATGAATTCTTTCCTCTGCCATAACGCACTTCTTTGAGTGCGACTATGCACGCTCTGATAACGAATCCAAAGTCATCCCTACAATGGTTGGACGTTTCTCAAGCGATTTAAGAAAGCAGTTCTTGTCCATTGCTAATGCTATATAGATATGCCCACTGAAGCCGAAATTATGTGTGCAAAAGCGACGTGTACGGACTGTGTCGAAATAGCGGCCAGCAAGCGTTGGTACTTAACCACTTGATCATTGTCCGAGCTATTAAATTAAGGCCGCCAAGGTATGATGTATCCGTTTTGCCTCTGATTAATTAACATGCCATTTGTCTCCTCGTTTTAAGTCATCAATTCGGCTGCCTAAATAAGGTAAAGAACAACCCCCTTCCCAAGTTGACAATTACTACATGTTAGCTCCGCTTTGTCAACGTATGGAGCTGATAAGAGTTTATCTGAAAAGAATTCTCTAATCGGCATCCGTCTTTGATTTTGATTCTTACTAATCAGTCAGAGAATGTTGGAAATGGTGGAAACACCCGAACGAATCTGGAGGCTAAAACGCGTAGCGCAACGAGTGCTCCTGGAATAGAGTGAAAGACTGAAAGGTGGAGCATACGAACCTTGCAGCAGAAGAGCAGCGAGTTCAGTTGCAAGACGCAAATCAGTGCATGGAAGGCGTCCAGTGCGAATATCCTCACGCAGTTGCAGTACGACCAGATATCGGGTGTATTCATCACGCAGATTATGCGGGTCGGAAGAGAAAAACTTGACTTGCAGCGCAATGGAATAAGGCGGGTTGGCTTGAAAAGGATGGGAAACGAGTGGGTAAGTGGAGTTAAAAAAGTGATTAAGATAACAGTGTTGTGGTGTCATGTGGACAAAGGAAACAAATTGTCATTGTGATCATTGCACTGGAAAATACAAATTGTTCACTGAGGCAACTAACCCCACAGAGAGAGAAAAGAGTGAGAAGACCGGGGTAAACGTTTGTGTAAAAGGATGCGGTTGCATACACAACTAGGCAGTTAGGACATCAAACTAGAAGCTGAAAGGAATATGGACCCGAATTTGGTGGTCAGCCCCTTACGTGGTATATTTGAGTTTGGGTGTGTTGACAATGTCTTGTTATGCACGGAAGAACAGTTACGTTGTGGTGAACAATGTCTGTGTGAGAGAATGTTGCCCTAGTGGAAGAGCACATTAAGGTTGGTCGGAAGTGAGTAGGTGAAGCGCTATGGTGCCTTCAGAACGGGAACTAGAGAGACCTTATAAGTGCATAACGCAGGCTCGATCTCGACCAGGGTTTCCCAACCTGGGGGTAATTACCCCCAAGGGGGTAAAATGGCATTTTCCGAGGGGTAAATACCGATAATAGGATTTGGTCACAAATCAGTCGTGAAATAAGCTTAATAACGAAATCACACATCGCAACTACCTCAGCATTTTTAGTTAGCCATCAGCCAATGCAGCTACTATGGCATGGCGCCTTTGTCAACTGCCACAACTGCTGCTGTGTTTTCGAATAAGCCAGTCGTTCACCGGGTCGAATAACGAGGTGGACAGCAAACTATCGTTTCAGCACTGGTCAAAGTACCAGTTATGTTCACAGGTGAATGTTTGACAGTAGGAACGGCGAGAAAGGGTGATTAGTGTTCACAAGGTATGGATACGGAATGGTATCGGGAAAATGTAGAGGAATAACGTGGAACGGAGGAATGAAACACATATTCATGTTTGATTAGGAATCAGACACCATGGGGTCAAGAGAGGGCCTGAATCGGGATAACGGTAGGCGTTTGAAAGGGCAGAGAAACGATACAATTGGGGTCACAACCAACATGGAATCAGCAGATTGGACGCCAGTGACCATTAGGCGTTATGTTGATCACTTTCATGAGCAGTTGTTTTTGATGAGAAGTCATGGCAGGTGAGCATTTTCATTCAGTGGCTTTGATGCCGACAAAAATATGTTTGTCTGCGAACGTTTGCGATAATGTCACCTGCATGGAATAACGAGATTAATTTCTATAAATGGTATATATCTATAACATTTACCTACTTAATTGTTTGCAGGGAATACGTCTTCCAGAAAAAAGCGGTCCTACAAAGAAGCATTTCTGCAGTGGGGCTTCACTAACTTCGGTGATAAAAATGTTGAGAAACCGCAATGCGTTTTGTGCAGCAAAGTGCTCACGGCGGAGAGTATGAAACCTAGTAAATTGAAAGAGCACTTCGAACGAAGCCATGCCCATTTGATAGGAAAAGATATTACATTCTTTAGAAGGAAAGAAGCTGCGCTAAAACTTTCGCGCCTAAATACATCGAGCTCCTTTTCTCAGGCAAATGGGGCTGGCCTTGAAGCTTCGTACCGCATTGCGCTTCGAATCGCCAAAACAAGAAGCCGCATACCATAGGAGAGGACCTCATCAAACCTTGCATAATGGATGCGGTTAAGCTCGTTCTTGGAGAACATCATACGTAGAAGATTAATATGATATCACTTTCGAACAACACCATCAAAAGTCGTATCGAGGACATGAGCAAACAAATTTTGAACACGGTGCTCAACGAAATAAGATCAAGTCCCTTTTTTGCAATCCAGTTAGATGAGTCGACCGACGTAGCGTCCTGTTCCCAACTACTTGTGTATGTTCGGTACCTAAAAAGTGATAGCTTCAAAGAAGAGTACTTGTTCTCAAAATCCTTGAGCACGACTACGTGTGGAGAAGACGTCTTCCGAATAGTAAAGAAGTTCCTCGAGGAAAACATGCTACTGTGGTGGAAGTTAGTGGGTGTTTGTACAGACGGAGCACCAGCCATGTTGGGCGTCCGTTCCGGATTCCAAACATTGGTCAAATATGTTGCTCCGCACGCTACCTTTAGTCACTGCATCATACATCGTTATGCTTTAGCAGTGAGCACTCTTCCACCTGCTTTACTTGACGTGTTAACCAAAGTAGTAAGGATAGTAAATGTCATCCGCGGTAGTGCGACCCACACAAGAATCTTCAAAGAGTTCTGCAATGAATTTGGAGGCAAATTCGACGTGCTACTATTGCACACAGAAGTGCGTTGGTTGTCACGAGGCAGGGTGTTGCACCGAGTGCTTCAGCTTCGTGAGGAAATTGCAATCTTTCTTCGAAGAAAAGAGATGCATAAGGGTAAGGGAAACGAGTTACACGTTATTATAACGGACAGCGTGTTTATTTCGAAACTTGCTTATCTTGCTGATTTCTTTGGAGAAATCAATGCGCTTAACCTCAGCCTGCAAGGGAATATGATGAACATTTTAGTCGCTCAGGATAGAGTAGCCGGTTTCCTTTGCAAACTGCAGCTTTACCAGCGCTCGGTTGATGTTGACGACGTGGCGATATTTCCAGAACTAACGACGGTGCTCGGTGAAAGAAATGAAAAATGCGCATTCACGAATGAAATATCTTGCCACTTGTCATCAGTGATGAATTCCATCAGCAAATATTTTCCTGATTTGGAAATTCGCCAATTAAGTGCCTGGGTGCTAAGACCGTTTACAGAAGCTGAAGGAATATTTCCAGATACTGAATTCCAAATCAAGGTACAATTCCTAGGAATGCGCGCGGACAGCGGATTGAAGGTAGATTTCCAAAGCACGCAACTAGTAACATTTTGGGCAAAGATAGGTGAAGCGTATCCATTACTGTCGGAAAGCGCATTGAGAATATTGATCCCATTTGCAACAACTTATAAATGTGAAAGTGCATTTTCGACAACCATGGTAATGAAAACAAAAGCAAGGAATCGAATGAACTTGGAGCACGACTTGCGATGTGCATTGGCCGAAACTGCACCAAATATACCGGAAATTGTTACCACCAAACAATACCAACCGTCTCATTGATGTATAGCGTCACTTGTTCGCATAGAATTTTGAATTAAAAGTACTGTTTTATTTCGTTTATTCGTCGAGGGAGATTCCGGATACCGATCACTTCTCGTACTTAAGTCGGATAATTATGTAGTGAGAAGGGGTGTTTCCTTCAATTGCATGAGCACGTGAAACTACATATGACATTTGTTTTTGAACTTTAGAGCGAAATGTGCAATAGTTATTACGTAGTAGTCTTTAGAAAGTTTGGGGGTAAAAGTCTGGTGGGCAACCCCCTTTGTGGGTAACGGCGTCTAAAAGGTTGGGAACCACTGATCTAGACAAATTCTGCTACAAGATATGAACTAGTGCAACACGGAAATGAGGGGAAGGGAGCAACAAAAACTGAAATGGCAGAGTTAAAGCAGAGCGAACGCCTGTCTGGAGCACCTCAAATCTAGTGTTACGAGTGTCAGCCAAAACGTTTGGAAAGTAGAGTGAAGAATGCAGTTATAGTGTAACAAGTTGTCATAATTCGTATAAAGTTGACAATAAAGTGAAAAAACAGAATGACTGGAAAGAAGAGTACACAAAGAAATCCTGTCGGAAATGTAAGAAAAACCTCTGGTACTGTTAGGCAAAAGGTAGAGCATACAAACCTTGCAGCGAGTTCGCATGCGAGGCGCAAATCAGCGCATGGAAGGCATCCACTGTGAATATCTTCAAGTAGTTGCAGTAAGACCAGTTAGATGCAGGAGGCTGAACGAGAGTGCGAGGCAACTAGGCGCAACTTACGATGGTATTCGGGGGAAAATACACTAACCAATATGACGGAAACATCCTCAATGGCACTAAAACCTTGCAGCACATAGCCATCATCAACGAAAACCAGAAGTAAGCTTTGGTTACTAAGTTAGATGATAGGGAATATTGCCCTACCATGCCGGCGTGGTTGATAAACTCGAAACAGAAAGTGGCATTGGTTATTAATGGCTCTTCATAAATGATAAGTGGCTAAGAAATAGGCTACAGGTTCTGCAATACAAGAAAAGTACAAACCTTTGCATTGACTTCTAATACCTTTCGAGGGGTCCAGCCAAACCTAATTGTACGAATGAAATGCGTCAGCGAAGACAAGTTACCGTAAATTTTCCGAAATACTTTAAACTGAAGTAGTCTTTCTCCTCGTTGATACCAACGTAGGCGAAAGCCAAATCGAATAGTTCGGAGGCATTCGCGTTCTTCTACGGTTGGAGTGAAATGGACAGCCTGAGTAGATTACTCACTGGTAAATAAAATGTTTGCTCTGTGCCATCAAGGTAGGTAACGCGGCAATCCAAATCGGACTTTTTATTCTTCTTCGTCTTGCCTGTACTCAATACCTCCTCCACATGGCTGTGAGCTGGCTCGGACTTTTTACGCTTGAATCTACGGCTAAAAAACCGTACTATAGATGCCATTGAATGAGCATATCACAGAGAAAGCATGGGCAAGCCCACCAGGGACACTGTAAAAGGAATGAAATGCTAATCAATAAAGAATAGTTTCAATTGCGAAAATCAAAATTTGTATATGACGAAACCTGGTAACCCCGAAATAGGAGAAACACATGGTGAAAAATTGGATAAACTGAAGTATGGAGCTGGAATAAACGAGCGGAAGCTATGTCGGTGGTACGCAATCATAAAAACCATCCCATCGGTTCAAATTTGAATTGGCAAAATGACATAGCTTGCTTAAACCAGGGCCTAGAACTCCAAAGTGCTTCCGAATCGGTTAACGCAGACGTTGTATGTCCGGCATATACGTCACACTTTCCAGATGTAGGGTGCTACTGTAGAGCCAGTCAATGCATGAAAACTACTGAAAGTGGTGGATCGGTTCACATGCCAAGTTGGCTGAATCAGAGATAGTGAAGTAATCACCGAAGAGGTGACAGGGTTAATGGGGACGACTACCTGTGCCTATTCAGTACGGATGCCGATAGATTAAGCGCGTGATACAGTGCAGCAGTGTGGTCATTATTGTTGCATGGATAAGAAACATGACCAGTGCTAAAGAGATTAAGGTAGAGACGTAATTGACTCTGAATGCTTATGCGACATTAAGTATATCTGATTGACCGAAGGACAAACTGAACAGAAACCGATCAAACCTAAGAAGTTAGAGTTCTCACTCAACGACTGACAGAGGTTTACAGAAAAAGCACTTACATAAACGAGTGGCCGCTTGAGCCCGCGTAATATTTTGAGGGACCAAAAAAAACCGCTTTCCCATTAATAAAGCCGCGACAGTACATTAGTACTTGTACTGACGGTTCATCGCGATTTGACCGCAAGTGGCTGTATGCGACCTGAGATGCTGCAGATATGCTCCAACCTCCACAGCAGAGGGGAATCGGACTTGTGGCGTGGAGGTTGGGAGCCAAACGTCTCTAATAACTAATAAAATTTGTATGAGCAGATCATGAAGCCCTCACAAGTACGACGCCATAACAAAGCGATTTAGAGAGGCATAAAACTGTGGCACCAAGTTAGAGAAGATGAAAGACGTTAGTAATACGTCGAGATAACGTGACCAAGACCAGTCGCGAGCGGGTTAGGGATGCCGCGAGGTCGCCAACAGCCCCGCATATTCCAACCGGTGACCTTTCGAGTGCAAGGCGGCGCTTAAACTAAGCTGAAATCAATCCTGGCTGCATACCGGTATCAGATTGTGGCCGATATGGTCAAAGTCAATCGCCGCGTCACTGTAGAATGGGGATCGGAGATTAGAGATAAGAGCATGCTAGCAAGCAGAACGGTATCATGCCTTCACTCTGTGGGGAGACTGGAAATTGTGTTTCGCGATTAAAAGTGTTCCATTCGCAACAAGATTGGACCTTAACGTCTGTCGCAACGAGCTGGACCTTAACGTGGTGCGACGGTTTGCGTACCTCATTGACCTATTGAGCTATATTGGGTGATACCTCCGGGCATCTTGAGAGCTACACCTACCAGGTTGGTCAATGGTGAGAGATCAGACAAACTAGGTCACCTGGTCCTCCAGATTGCGGGTTTGAAATGGGATGGCGTCAATTTCTGTAAAACTAAATCATTGCCACCTTCCCGCTGCCTTGCGGACAGGCTTTTGAGCCAAAGGCTTTGGATGAGGACCCTAATCGTCCTTCTGTCTAGGTCTGGGTGCCCTGACAGTATCTCAGCTCACATACAACCATGACAATTTCCCCAAACCTTAACTACATCCTGCATCGACCGTCGCGCAAATTATCAAGGGTCGCCTTTCTGCTGCATACAGCAGGGCGGATAAGCGAAAACATGCTACTGCTGGCGCCTCCCTTCTTTCTTTTCCACCTGGTTCTCTTACCCCCATACCGACCCCCATTACTAACCTTCCTTCTATAATTCCCAGCCTAATTGACAGCAACCGAAGTGCCACTGGACTAGAACCATCTGCAGCCACCATCCCACAGCACCTATCGGCAAAAGTACCTTATAATGCCACGCTATCCCGTTTCCATGGCGACATTCAACGTTCGCACTCTAAGACAAACAAGTCAACAGGCTGCACTCGCACGCACCTTGGACACACTGGGTATTGATGTGTGCTGTGTGTCCGAAACTAGGATCAATGACCCTAATGGGGTTGTTGAATTGACTGCACCCGTTTATCCTCTCCTTATTGGTCGCACGCATCCGGAGACTATGATGCGGCACTCAAGGGTCAAGCTGGTGTAGGTACCATTCTCAGCTCCAAGGCTGAGCCATCGTTGGTTGATTGAATTCCGGTGAACAGCCGTTTATGTGCAGCCCGTTTGACGACATCAGCTAAGGTGGATTCATGAAGTAATACAAGACGCTGTTTGTTTGTGATTTCCGTTTATACTTTCACAGACTGCGGTTTACATGCTGTGAAGGACACATCCTATCACGAACTGAATACCCTACTACGCAGTGCTTCTAGTTCAGATATTATAGTACTTGCAGAGGATATGAACGCACAAGTAGGGCTTCTGAGCACTTCTGCTACTCAGATGGGTGGTAATTATGGGCTTAACTCCGAACGGACTGACAACGGTGAGCGTCTGCTGCAACCGTGTGCGGAGAACCAGTTGGTTCTTAGTAGCACTGCTTTTAGACACAGTGGGCGCCGAAGTGTCACTTGGCGTGCTCCCGTAACTCGCCTGCGATGGACCCAAATTGATCACATTGTCATAAGTTACAGATAGCGTGGTTCTATCCTGAACTGCCACTCGTACTGGAATACTTGTGTCGACTCTGATCATGCCTTGGTACGCAGTCATTTCTACATGAACTTTACCGGGAGGCGCACCAAACGTCCCCTCCGCTTGGCAACTGAGAAATTGTCTCAGCCCTCGGTCGGGCAAGCCTATCAAGACGCACTGCGTAGCGAACTTCCGCTGTCTTGTCCTAATGACGCTGAGCTTCAGTGTAATAGAATCTCGGCCGCCATGCACGAGGCAGGAGCATCTGCTTGTGACACTATCCATCGTCACCGCACCAGTCACTGGACATCCGAGGGGTCGGTGAACCTGTTGGAATCTAGAATAAACCTCCCGACTGGCTCTGAACACCATGTGACCAGACGGGCTATTAGGCGTGAACTAAAGCAGAGGCTACGAGCTGACAAGGACCAGTCGGGCTCAAGAAATAGAGAAGGCAGGGGCAGTAGGCAATGAACGAATGATCACCCATCTGATCCATACCACTGGTCTCAGGAAATCAGGCGTCAGTTAAACAATCGGAGACAGCGCGAGTGCACTGATACACAGTAAGGCGCGCCGTATGGCTCGTCAGGCGGAACACTTTCAAGATCAGTTCAACCGGCCCCCTGCTCCCGGACCTCTTCCTACTCAGGTGATGCAGAGCCAGCCGTGCACGGTTGGTTTAGAGCCTCCGTCGGAGGCCGAGGTCCGAAACGCGATCACAGTCCCCAATCGTTTTCGTGCCGCTGGCCCGGATTCCCTCCCACATGCACTATTTAAGGACGGAGGTGAGGTCTTTTTCAAAGCACTAACTTCCCTATTCGAACGTAGCTGGAAGGGAGTGTCCCGGCTAATTGGAGTGAATCGATTATAGTGACAATATACAAGAAGGGCAGTCGCACAGACTGTGCTAACCACAGGGGTATTGGCCTAACGCCAGTTGTGATAAAAGTATTGGCTTCGATTATCGTTCATCGCCTCAATGTGGAACGGGAATATCGGATTAGGGAAGAGCAGGCCGGTTTCCGCCCAGGACATGGCTGTATAGACCAATATTCATTTGCGGCAGATGTTGAGCAGCGCCACGCATATCGCAGACCGACAATAACTGTTTCTCGATTTCAAGCGTGCGTTCGACGCTGGGGATCGATGCACACTGTCCGAAAATTGCGCGGAAAGATGTTCCCACGAAATATGTGAACATCCTTCGTGCTCTATACTCGAACAATAGAGGGCGCATCAGGGTTTACGGTGACCTGTCGGACAGATTTCTGACCACAAGTGGCGTTCGTCAGAGTTGTCCGATTTCGCCATTTTTGTTCAATTTCCTCGTAGATTCCATCATGTAGTGTTCCCTTGCGGAATCACACGATGTAGGCGTTGAAGTTCTGCCTGGTGAAAGGTTCGCTGACCTAAAGTATGCGGACAATATCGTGTTGTTGCGACGGCACTATCAATCCTGAATAGCCTGTCCTGAGTGGTCCCGTTATTTGGTATGCACTTCGCACCTTCAAAGTGCAAAGTGTTGCTGCAGGACAACCGGCCACTTAATGACCCTTTGCCGCTTGCTAAGGAGGAACTTTAGGTGGTTGATCATTTAACTTATCTTGGCAGCTGCATTAGCAACGATGGTCTCATTGAAACTGACGTCAGCTCACGCATTGCAAAAGCCAGAGGTGCCTTCTTGAACCTGCGGCATCTTTGGCGACAGAAGGGAATTTCCCCGCGTCCGAAAGGTCGTGTATACAAGGCCACAGTGAGGGCCGTTCTGCTGTATGGTAGTGAGACTTGGCCTCTCCGGTCTGAAGATCTGAGGCGCCTTCAAGATTTTGATCATCGTTGTCTACGAAGCATTGCTGGTGTCCAACGACTATGTGCATAGGCGAGTACTAGGTAGAGGTAATCATGCTAGCTCCCTAGAACAACAGATAGCACTGAATAAGTTGCGTTAGATCGAGCACGTGCTACGTATGCCTGGTCACCGCTCACCTAGGAAGGCCTTGTTTAGTCTGCCAGGTGTAGGGTGGCGCAAGGCTCGAGGTGGACGGAACTTGACTTGGCATCGGGAAATGAAATCACTGACGATCAAGCTGGGTGTCATTAGTCCGTCTCGTCTTCCGGGTTGGAGTCCACATGACCCGCCTTTTGCTTGGCTCGATACTTTACAGGACATGGCTCGCAACCGACACCAATGGCGCGTCTGCTGTCGTCTCCTATTTGTGTTTGGTACTATGT